CTGGAGTTTGGCCCGTTTGCGTGGCGACTTCATCTCGGATCGCCTTCTCGTTATCGATGGCTTCGCCAAAAATGTTGTTGAGGCGGCGGGGGCAGCCTTGCACTGCGTACTTGTACCACTCCTGTCGCGTTTCAACGATCTCTGCGGAGATGTCTGAAGCCCATTCAGTTTGTCGCTCAGTCAGAAGATCCCTGGTTGCCAAGTCAGCAGCGCGGATGGCCCATCCGGTTTTACAAGGATGGGCTTGCGGGATGCGGCTCCGGTCGATGCCGAGTTTGTCGGCGATGTGGGTCCGGACGGCGAAACTTCCGGACATGTCGGCGGTTTGGCCGGGGCGGAGGCGGGCGAAGACCCGGAGGTCGTCTATCGGTGGAGGCAGCGGATTGCGTTGCCCCTGGCGACGCGGGGCTGGTTGTTGTTGCCATTGATTCTGCGGAGCTGCGGTGACGGGGTTTGAGGTGGTCCCCGCTGCAGCTGGGGCTGGGCGTCCGGCGCCGACGACAGTCGCGTAGGAGGGCTTCGTCGGAGGGAGGTTGGTGTGCGTGCCGGCGAGTACGTCGGTCCAGTACTGCAGGAAGCTGCTGGAAAACTTCTGGGCGAATTGAAGTGCGGGTCCAGAAGTGAACTGTTTCGCTGTGTCGTCGAATGAGGAGCAGAAGGCTTTGAACACAGCTAGTTTGGCGCTATAGACCTCGTTCTGGGCGACCACGAGCTTGTCGGCGGCATTGGTGATTGAGACGGGACCGTCACCGGATTGCGGGTCGGGTTCGCTAGAGTCGAAATGGACAGCGCGCTGAGATCCTTCCGTGGCTGCAGCGTAGGAGACCGCGTGAAGCGGCGATGACGGCGTGTATGCCGTCCGTAGCGCAGAGCGCGAGACGCCGATCTCGCCCTCACAGGTGGCGGGGCTGTGGCGCAGAAGGGCGACACGCGCTCCTCTGGCTAGGCCGGAGGGGGTCCTGGGACCCAGATCGAAAGGATCATCATTATGAGGCGGGCTGGACGAGGCCGATGCCATCGCCGCCGCCGCCGCCGGCTGCGCAGAGCGCGGGATGGGCGGATTACGGTGTACTTGTTAAGGGATAAGGTGTGTATTGGGCTACTTTCTTAACAGTTGCATGCCAAGAAAGTAAAAATGCAGGGAAGGATGAAAGCAAAGGAGGCGATGCGACGTAAAACATGCATAGGGTAGCCATAGATGGCCTCACCACAGCGCCAGAGCCAGTTGCGGTGAATGGGCTGGGACAGGTAATCCGGAACGTACTGTCGGATACCGTAGATAGCACCAGAGCACAATACCTTGATCAATGCCAGCTTTTGCTCCGCGTCGAAATTATCCTCCCATTGGTTTGCGTTCGTGGTAAGTTTCGGTCGTACTGTACCGTGTACGCGTCCTCGCCTCAGAATCTCCCAAGATTTCAACAGCGTCTCGATGCCACATGGAACAGCCACTGAGTCACAAGCGGCTGCAAGCTTGTGGCACCTTAATGCACTACAAGCATGAAGCGAAGGCGTCCAGCCATGTTGCACAGCACGGTATTGTTCCCGCCTATGCATAAACTGGACAGTCCTCATCGAACAGCTGCTTACAGCAGTAGCCCTGCGCTGTACGACACGTCGGACTCGCGATGCTTCCATGCATGCGTACAGAATACTTCGTGGCCGCTCTGCTGTTAGCACAACGCAGCATCTCGGCTTGTAACATCCACGTTGCAGACTTCCGCGGGTTTGGTCGTCAAGGCTGCTACGACGAGAACCTCGGTATTTGGACCATCATTGACACGGACTTTGAAGCAAACGAATGCAAGTCGTTGATTGAGGAAAATGTGCATTCTTTGACACTCGTGGACATTCGGCGCGAATGCCAGTGTAAGTATGCCACACGACTAGGAATGGATGGAGCTGCTGAATCAGTACCAGTGCACGTATTTTCGGATCGAAGCTGTACACAAGGACGGCGAGTCGTCCAGCCGAATCATTGCGTCAATTCGCCAGAGGGCTTACGAAGCTGGTCCATGGAGTGCATTTGGTCATAGGGTGGCTAGCAGTCACTGAGCGAAATGAAAGTCAGGCAAGCTAAAATCAGTGCTGCTTGGACTTCGAGCAGCTTCGTGGAGCTCATGTTTGGAATAAACCTCCATCAAGATATTCCGCTGCCAATTTCTTATTCGAATTATGATCGGCGACTGACGGCCATGCACTTCCACATAGTTGACCTTGCGATATGGATTCGCACCAACGACGATGTTGCCTCAAGACCAGATTGTCTTCGTGAAGGGGATACCCGTTGAGGGCTGAAGGCCAGTAACAGCAGCTGCGACGATGTTGGGCCTTCGGACACCAAGCACGCCATCTAGGATCTTTTTATTCGCCCTCGCCCCTGCTACTGTAACGCGGGCTTGCACAGAGTCAATTGCCCCTGGATAGCAATCTGTCAGACGATCGACTCCACAGGGATCACAGCTGGCATCGTAGTAACCGAATGAGTGCGCGGCTCACTATACACAGAGAAAAGGTTTACTTTGTGGTGCAAAGTCCCTGCAATCGAAGTTGGTATGCAGATATATGTAGCCAGTGTTTGAGCTTTGACCTCAACGAAGTCATAGATCAATGTCTGCAGACGCTCGACCTTCATAAACAGATTATAACATTGGCTTCACCGAGACAGTATTTTGAGTGCAGATGCTGTGCAACTGGCTCTCTGTGAGACACAATCAGTAAGGCGGCTCGCCTCCCGAGATAACACCGACGTGTTTCGCCGTATTTGCCTTAACAGCTCATTGAAACCTCCATGCAGTGTCCCGGCGTGTGAGCAACAGCAAAACGACATGCGCCAACTTTCCCCCGAGGCTGTTAGGCCATCGAAGAATGGTGTTGCACTTACTGGACGTGCACAACTACGGACGCACTGGATACGTCAGTGCAAACAGGGGTCGTGAGGCGACGTGCATTCACACGAGCAAATATAGCAACGGGAAATGGGCAGAGAATGGCAAGGCAAGATTACAATCAACCAACACACTCTAGCAACTGGTCATGCTGTGCAGCCAATCCATTTGACCGCCACGCCTTTATGCTGGTATCCACACCGTAGTGCTGTCCAAAGGCGACATTAGCTGCGGATCATGGCGCAAATAGTTGGCGGGGCGAAAGGTCACAATTAAAAGGGTGGGGCACGCCGCCCCACCGGCTGCCGCACAGCGGTAGAGCTCTTACACTTCGACACTCGATGCGCCTTGATGGCATGCTCAATTGCATCTTTCTCTATCCTGCTTCGGGAACGGTCACGCATCGCCGCCGAAAACCAACGAATGATTACCCTCTTGCCATGGGCTGCATACCGAGTAGAGTCGTGCGAGAACGGCTTGAACATGCCACGATCGATGACCTCCTGCAGGACAACGAAGTAAGCTCCGCCTGGGCCGGAGGTGAACAAAGGCCTCAATGTTAATTATACCAGTTCGTAGCCTATATGCTGCCTTGGAAGCAATCGTTATCGAGTAAATCGTTGCAGAAGCTATACACCTTGGTGCAGAAGGAACATCACCTGGAGGGTACAGGAACATCTTTGGCACTTTTTTTTTGTTTTGGAGTTGACTGGCCGCAGCGAACCATAGTACCGGATTTGCGGGACGAAACGATCTGAAGCCATTACTGAGCCTCGAGGAAGGTGACACTACTCTTCACCACGAGTTGGTGCCTTTTTATGATTCGTGGTCCAGAAATCCGAAGAGCTTCGTGTCTCTTGAATCAGATGTCCGTGGCCTCGGGTATTTGACTAGGATCGGCCGCGACGTCGCTCCTCCGAAAACAAAAAGCGTCGTAAAGCGAGTGAAGCGGAGGTTCCAATGGCTGTTTGTCTACCAAGCTTCTCGAATAAAACGAGGCTATTCCTACCCCGAGGAATGGGTAAGGTATGGACAACAATACGACAGGTTAACGTCCCGACTGGGAATTGGTTGCTTGTTCTTGTGGCCCCTCAAGATTGCCGACCATTTGTACGCAAATTTGCTCCACAATAAGACCAGATACTGACAGCCCAAGGTGGTGCAATCGACTACCACAGGAAGGTAATTACTTCGAGGAAGCGATTGCGCTGTTGGAGCGGCTATCGATTGTTGCAAATGCCGCTCGGATTGATGCGAACAGAGTCGGCACATCAATCCGAGAGACCCTACTTCAACCTCTTATATCCGGCAGAGTCGTGAACGACCAAGGCGCGACCCCGAAATTGCATCTCGCGTCTGAAAGCGTCTACAATCGGATACCTGTGGTTGTACCCTATGATTCACCAATACTGCTATACGTGCAAGCTGGGGACATTGTCGGGCTGAGAGAGCTTTGGCAGATTGGTCTGGCGACTATAGATACTGTAGATCCGTATGGCCTTGGCTTACTCTACGTACGTCCCACCCCACAGATGGAGAAATGGCAAGGCGGAGAAGAGAGACAAACTGACTATCGCTAGTACTCTACGTATTATTGCTGGCGAAGCTGCGGTATAGCTAAAGCCATGGCAACGTGCAAGGTATTACTTGATGCCGGTGCTGATGTGGCATGGCGAGATGATCTAGGAAAGTAAGTTTGGACTTCGTACCGCCCTCATCTCTGCCGTTACTGATTTGTAAAGCACTCCTATCGATACTATGCTAGATTGTGTACTAGCGCAGCCAACAATGTCTGGCAAGCCAGATCATACTGCGCTTCGCGATGTTGCAAGGCTGTTCGGGGTCCCTTTGGATGAAGCCTGGGGACAGTACGTCGAGAGTCGAGGCTTTACGGAGCTACACGAAGTACTACTCGGCATTTATGGAGCAGAAGAAACGCTGGATGAATACCTCAATCGTTCTGCCACCGAAGGAAGGCTAGCCGGAATCATCGATGTCCCAGACTTTTCCGGTAGGAGTGCACTTGCATGGGCGGTCGCGTACGGCTGGGCACGTGCAGCGGCATTTCTGGTTGCGCACGGCGCCAATGTCGACCAGCGGACACCGTCCGGACCCGGCGAACTACCCGTGTTGCACATTGCGCTTGCCGGGCCCGCCTCAGGCGAACCGACGTGTGACTTCTTGGAACTCTTCCGATGCCATTACAATTTTGCTGCGCTGCAGTCGTTCGCCCATCAACATAAGCGCTCTCAACTACGAAGGCAAAACGGCTGCACAGGTGGCAGCGGAAAGCGGGGCGGATCTGATGCTCATTGATGTGCTAGCCCGTGGCGTGAACTGTTACTGCTAGCGCAGCAGAATAGAAAGCATTGCGTTCAGCTACTCCCGTCAATCTCGTCTCACTAAGGCCATAAGACTGAAGCTTATGTTGTCCGCCTCGATTCGAATGCAGTCTCGTATGACGTTTGGCACACCGGAACCGAGCAGGTCAGCTTCAGGCAGCAATACACCTCTGTCAAGCGGCCCTTTCCGGTCACCGTCCAACTCATAGAGCCTACCGTTCTTCTGAGACCGAACAAAGCAAACGTAGTGAAGGTCTACCTCATCCTCGGCACTACCAGGTACGGCCGACTGCCCCTGTGTTCACCTTGGCATAGGCTCTTTCAAGCTCCGCTGAATTTTCAACAAGAAGTGCCCGTTCGCCTGGAGGAGTGTCGAAAATTGTCGCCATGACAGATTTCGGTTCTTGAATCCCATTAGCACCTTGTAGGCGCGCTGTCTCAGTTAGAAGACTAACGGAACATATCTCGAGCTTCGCTGTTGGACAGAGCGTGGATAGTTGCGTAAAGGCCACAAGCGTTATTAATAGTCTGCTTGAACCACACAACAGATTCCTCCAGGTCGCCTTGTGAGATCGTCTCGTATAGTGCATCTTCAGTCTCCTTGCGCCTCTCATAGCGCTCCGTCGTGGGGAGAACCAGAATTAAAGCCAGTGCCGGGTGAGGGAGGAGGTTTGGCTCATCTAGGGATATGACATCCTCGAAGACCAGTGATGGAGGGCTCCCTAGGGAATGTATTAACTTGGTGAATACATCGGGATTAGACTCGAGTGGGAAGAAATGTTTATTGTAGAGAGTACTCATATCGAAGATGGCGGCATCAGTTGATAGAGCCGATATGAGGACCGCTCGTACTATTCTACTTGAATTTGACGTGACTCGTCCGACCGAGCGCCGAGTCTGTCAACGTCAGGAATCCTTCCCCTCTGCGCGAAAACGGCACTGACGTGCGGTTCAACTATTATCCGGCAGATCAGCGTTTGGCCTGTCGTCCCCGCAGCCGAAGACGAGAAAAGCGGGGTAACTTCCTGCGGTTCATGCCATGGCGCCGTTCGGCAACGGGCCTCGCCGGAGCGGCGCAACGCTAATGCGTGGTTCCTTTTGTTCAAGCGAAGCTGAGGGGGCCTGTACGTATTCCTCGTATGACTGACGCTAATGTCGCCTCCAATTTCCGCTAATTTCGTCTTCAACTGCCGCTAATGTTGCCTGCGCGTACCGTCGCTTCTCGATGTAAGACCACACTTGAAGTTCGCAGCGGGATGCAGCTGCGCGATATCAGCGAGCGCTAATCCAGCGCAAGGAATGGAATGTAGATTGACTTCTCGAGGGATTCCTGGAAACAGCCTAACTGCGCTTAGCATCGGCGTCTATTACTCAATACGAAAAGTAGATCTTGAGCGGTGCATACCATGTAATGATGCAATGATTGTATATTAAGCGAATCTTGTCCTTCGATTAGGATCACCAAATCACGGACCCCTGTACATCAATTACTATGAGACAGGACAACTCGCCGGCGACAAGCTCTGGCATTGCGCCTGCTGCCAATCTGTCTGCGTCGCAGGCCTCGTCGACGTGAGTTGTCAAGTTTGCCGTTTCTAACTGTTGCTCACTCGACCAGACCTCACATTTCTCACGCACAAGCGCCAGCTGGGCTAGCAAGAGGCATTCAGGCCGTCCCTCCTAGCGCGTCGGGCGATACAGCACAGTACAGGAACGAGAACACCGCACCACCCCCGGGCGCCGCCTCGACTTTGTGAGCCCACTGCCACGTCCACTCGTCACTGGGAGCTAAGATCGTCGCAGCGCAACTGTTGTGCAGAAAAGGCATGCTGCGGACCCGCCCAACGCGGACGACGATGGGATTACATTCCTGGGTGATGTCCCAATGAGTGGGCCTTGCACCAGCTTATTGGGTGACTAAGCGACGTGCCTGGTTCATGACAGTATACAGTATATTAGACGGCTACACCAACGATGTCGGCATGGCACTGAGTGGGCGGACACGGAATACTGTGACATCTTGCACGTTCGATTTGACCAGGCCATGATCTGATTAGTTCCGCTTTGGTGACAGGATGTAGCCTAATGATAGGAGCCAGGGTCACGAGATCCCACATCGGCCCCGCTTCGGATCTGAAGTGGGGTCACGACATCATCTTCCCCAGTACTTAAGACCGAGAACAAGCCTGTGTGAATTCACGCTCTTTCCCGCATCGTCGTGATAATGGACTTGAAAACCCTCCCAACTGCAGCGCGGGAATCTGAGGTCTACTCCCATAGCGACTTGTTGGCTTTGGTCGAGCAGTGCAATCATCTTGAGGAGTGGAATCCGGTGGACAGTAAAGGCCGCATCAACGCACGAAAATCCACCGAAGTCGACGACAACATCGTCGCCATGGTTCTGAGACATTTTGTGCGTCCGAAGCGTGACGATGACAAGAAAGCGCTAATACGCAACAGGGACCCTCAGTGCAGAGCTGGGCTAATGAGCGCAATCTGGCACTCACGGGCCGCACGACCGCTCGCAACCCTACATGGGCCAAAGCTGGTGCCCGAGTTGCGCCTACGCCCGGCACCATCTGCTTGATAATCCCATATCCCGACACTATTCCTGACGCCGACCTGGAAATACGCTTTGAGCCTGTACGGAACGGAACGGATTTCATCAAGGTCGATTGGCAGCTTCCGAAGCTGCTTCCCGTCGGCTCCGTGTTAACAGTAGCACGTGGTGATATCAAGTTTCTACCGATTGAGATTCACTGTAGTGCTTCCGGCCCGGCGGCAGCGCCTGGAGAAGCCAAGAGCGGCTACGCGACGGGTCCGAATTGAAGCCACCATCCTTGAGTGTCATTTGAGGGTAACATGCTCATGTACATGGGAGACTCCGCATTCTGTTCTTCGCTCGTTGAGCCTGTCACCTGTGGTTGATAGCACGGTTCTGGGCTCAAGGCGTCCATCAACATGGCGTCTCCGGAAGAGTCGAGAAGGAATGGGGCGCAGTCAACAGTACGCGCAACTTTATGGTGGAGCTCGTAGTCAGTCACAACTGCTCAAGTAGCCGAAATGAAAATTTACCTTCGGACCGTAATCCCGCAGAATATTGAAGTGGAAGAGGAGCAGCTGCTCTATCATTAGCGGTGCTAGCATATAGAACCCTTATGGAGAATAATTACCAGACGTTTGCGCAGAGCCCGCCGAGGTGACAGCGCTATCAGCAGCGCCTGCACTGTCCACTTCTTTGGTGCCTTGGCTCCATACTGTCGAATGGCTTTCCTCATCCGGCAGGAGTCTGGAATTGGGCGAGGACAAAAGTAGCAGGCTATCAGAGGCGATAGGTGATGTATTTGGATGATCCGGACCGTCGCCACTGTGTATCCCTGAAGCCCTACCGTTGAAATGGTTAGTACTCGTATCACCCTCCTGTTCCAGTGATATCGAAGGAAACTGTCCGTCGCGCTGCGTTGTATCCGTTCCCAGTTCGCTGGACGTAGTGAAAGTTTGTTCCCTCCCATAGCGGTTCGGCATTGTAGGAGAGCGGTCTGAAGGACTTCGAGCGTTTTCTGGTGGCTGCTCGCTGGTCTGTGAACTCCCGGGGGAGCTGGGTGTCGTTCCAGGGTTTCCTACATCGCCTCGAGACGTCTTAGCAGGACTGAAAGATCGTGGTGGTACTTTGCCGCCTCGAGGCATTGCCGTGCTATGTGCTCGACTTCTGTCGATATGGTTTGTGCTTCCTTCCGGCGCTTGTACTGCGGTAGTAGCATTAGACTGGGGAGGCGGGACGTGCGTTGCGACGATGGCAGACTTTGCGTCTGCCAGAGAGATTTTGGCGAATATCTCGTTGGAAAGCTTAGAGAAGCCCTGCAGGTCGAGCTCCTTGCAAACGGACTCGTAACTACATGCGCCAAGTCAGTACTTGTAGCAGTCAGTTCATAGGGAGTCACATGTTACTGGCTTTTCATCAAACCACCAGGCTACAAATGCCACAGGGTTCAAGAGAGGGATTATCGTCTTCTCGGAGACGACTGCAGACTGGTCCCGTGTTGCAGTGGCGCATTCCTTGAGCAGGTTTAACACTTCAGGCCCCAAGTGGTTCAGTATGTCAGTCATGTCTTTGTCTCGAGCCCTCGCGATGAAGGTCAAGCGTGAATCGTTGACTTGACTGTCGTTAATCCCTCGTTAAAACTGCAACGGAAGGGGAGTCATACGGGCTAGTGACAGAAGAATGATGAGAGACGCGCTTCCAATCATTTCTGACAGTTGCGAGACCAGCTTCACTGTTCGGTAAACGGCTCGGGGCCAACGAGACGGCGTGTTATCGTCTTTGCGCCCACTCAAATATGTACGCTCGTAGTATGAAGCGAAACCAGTCAAACAATCGCCAATCCACTTTTGGGACTTTGCTGATTTGATGTGTACTTTGCCGTACGTTGAGGTGGCGTCGCATACTTCATCAAGAGATTGATTTGAATCCTTCATTTCCCGCCACATCTCCATGAGCGTTTTCGGTCTGGCGTCGGCCCGTTCCACGACGTCGAAGCAATGATTGAGATGCTGCAGTGACGTTTCCGCCTTTTCGTTGAAAATAACATGTAGTCGCCGACGTATCGCTTGCGTAGTTGCAGCATGTACGTCGAGGATCGAGTAACGCTTTTGGATCGAGCGGACCTTACGCTTTCGCTTCAGCTGGCCACGGAGCGGAAGGCTGGACGGTTCACCGATATTGTCCTGCATAGACGAGCAGTCCTGACTACTGTCAAGTGCGGTACGCTGCCCAAAACCAGAAGGCTGGTGTTGTTCGGACTGGGAATCTGGCGTACCCATCGGCGCTGTTGGGGATGCGATTCCCGGGCGGATGCATTCCAAATTTGCTGCTTGTGGAGATACTGAACTGCGTTGCCTTAATATCCAGCCTACCAAGGTTGACTGTGCCAGACCTACCGGCTCCTGCCTATCCACTGACACATGGCAATGAGGTCATGGCTGTGACGAGGAGGCTCTTCGCAAGACGCGATGTGCAAGACTTGCTCTTTGACACTGCAATCACGAGACGATCGATAGAGGACGATAGTCCACCTACTGACCGGCGGAGCACTTGCCATTAGAAACGATAACGAACCGTTCTGGTGACAAATTGTTGCGTGGGCCTTGACAGCGTGCTGATGAACATGGACGTGTGCTAAAGCTGTGTGCTGTACCTGAGAGAGAGGTGTACAGAGCATCGTGCCACGTTTCCAGTATCTCTCGGCCTGAGTATTGTTTCAATAGCCGGCAGAGAACGGCTGGTAGCGTCGTGCATGCCCACCACAACCCCCTCCTGACCATTGTTTTGTTGCGTTGGGGTGGAAGGTTGGG